ACACCCAACCCGCCCTCTGCCACAGACAACACTGCACCAGATAGCGACCCTAACACGCCACCCACCACCAGCAGTGCAACCCCAGAAAGTGCCCCAACCCCTGCCAGCCGCAGCCAGGGTAGCCCCCATAGCGGCCCCTGCCCCGATAACACACCTAACCCACCTTGATGGTTAGCACGGCCCTTGATCGCTCACCTAACCCGGCCCTCAATAGCATCTCCCGGTCCCCCTTCCCTCGTTCTACCTCCGCAGGTAACACAGTCCCCAATACTGCCCAGAACCCTCCTAGGCAATGGAACCCCAGATAGCGCCCCCAACCTGCCCCCACCGCACGCAGGCAGTGCAGTTCTGATAATATACCTGCCCCACGGCCTTTCTACCACTCTGGCCATGCTGCCGCTGTGGGCCACTCTCCTACCGCTCTGGTGGGTGCAGTCTCCGGTGCGACGACCAAGAGCAACGAAGCAAGCTGTTATGTCGCAGTTACACTCCCCTTCTCCTCTTCCGCCTCTAAGCCCAGCGCAGACGTGCAATACAAACCAGCCCGGAACACGACGACTCTGCGCGCGCACGCCCCCACCTCACCCCGCACACATGCTTTATATAGAGAAGTTATGCAAATGAATTCCTGAACTACATGTTCTGATTGGATGAGAGAAAACCTCTAGGCCTACTCTGATTGGACTTTATTATCATGTTCTGATTGGTTGTCTTAAGACTTGCTCTCATCCAATCAGAACATGATAATAAAGTCCAATCAGAGTAGGCCTAGAGATTTTTCTCTCATCCAATCAGAACATGTAGTCCCAGAACTCATTTGCATAACTCCACATATAAAGCATGCTGAGGTGGGGGGAGCCAGACCATGCTGGGTTCTTTAGTGTTTGTCTAGGGAGCTGCTCCGTGCCCAACTTAAAGGCAGAGGAGAAGCGGAAGACCCCTGCCAAGTGCTGGAGGCTGGAGCCTGGGGTACCGCGGCTGGCCTCACTGTGACTGGTGGCCGAGATGGCGATTGCAGCGTGACCGGAGTGCTAAGAGGAGGGAAATAGTTTGGGGGTAGATGAAGGAGGAAAAGAGGGTGGTGAGTACCAACGGGAAAAGAGGATGGCAAGCAGGAGAAGGCATTGCAAAAAGGCAATGGGGAAAAGATGGTGGGAAAAAAACGTTTTTGGATAGATGGAGGGGGAAACGAGGTTGGCAAACAGGAGGGGAAAAAAAGGCAGGGTGAGCAGGAGGGAGAAAAGGTTTTGCGAAAATCGTGGGGAAAAAGATGGTGGGTAAAAAGTTTTTGGGTAGATGGAGGGGGAAAAGAGGGTGGCAAGTGGGAGGAGTAAAGAGAGGTTGGTAAAAGTGTAGAAAATGAGTGAGCGGGAGGGAGGGAAGGATTTGCGAAAACACAGTGGGAAGAAAAGTTTTTGGGTAGATGGAGGGGGGAAAGGATGGTGGCGAGCAGCAGGGGAAGGAGGGTTGGGAAAACGACAATGGACAAATAGTTTTGCGGTAGATGGAGGGTGAAAAAAGAGTGGCATGTGGGAGACGGGTGGGAGTGGGGAAAAGAGGTTGGTGAGCAGTAGTGGGGAGAAGGCATTGTGAAAAGATGGTTGGGGGGTGAGGAAAAAAGTTTTGGGGTAGATGAAGGGCGATAAAAGGGTGGTGAGCGGCAGGAAAGGGGAGAAGGCTTTGGGAAAAGATGGGGGGAAATGTTTTTGGGAAGATGGAGGAGCAAAAGAGGGTGATGGGAGCCGGAAGGTGAAAAAGGGAGAATTTGCGAGAGTGGTCATTCTGATTAGTCATTCACCCTCTCATTGATAAGTATAATGGTAGCTGTGGGTTTCATAGATAACTACCACTAGTAGTTTCGGAAAGTTGTCTTCTTGTCCATAACTCTGGAGTGTTTTGTGATGAAAATGTGTAATATTTTCTCAAATGCTTTCTATGGAGATGCTCATGTATTATTGTGTTTTATTCTATTAATACAGTTTTTGCATGCATTGATTTTCAAATATTAAATCAATGTAGCATTCCTGGGGTAAATCACATCTGCATATAGTGTGTAATCTGTTTTATATGTTGCTGGATTCAGTTTGGCAGTATTTTGTTAAAGATTTTTAATTTTATTTAAATAATGGGCCAGGCACAGTGGCTCATGCCTATAATATCAGCACTTTGGAAGGCAGAGGTTGGCAGATCACCTGAGGTCAGGAGTTCGAGACCAGTCTGGCCCATGTCTACTAAAAATACAAAAATTAGCTGGACGTGGTGGCAGACACCTGTAATCCCAGCTACTTGGGAGGCTGAGGCAGGAGAATCACTTGAACCTGGGAAACGGATGTTGCAGTAAGCTAAGATTGGGCCACTGCACTCCATCCTGGGCAACAGACTCTGTCTGAAAAAAAATAAAGAAAGATACTGGTCCATATTGTTTTGTGATATAACTTTGGTGTCAGAGTAATTCTGGCTTTATAAGATGAGTTGGGTAATGTTGTCTCCCCTTTTATTTTCTGCAAGAGTTGGTGAACAATTGATATTAATTTCTCAGAGTGATAGCTACCTGAGATGGGAATTTTATTATAAGTTTTTAAAATTACAATCCAATCTTTTTACCTTCTGTAGGTCTATTTAGATTTTCTATTTCTCCTTAGTCCTTTAGTCTATTTTAGTTTGTATTGCTCTAGGACTTCATCCATTCTATCTAGGCTATCTAATTTTTTTAGCATAAGACTTTCATTACATTGTCTTTTATTTTTATTTTGTATTACTAGCAGTGATGGATTCTCTTTTATTGCTGATTTTAGCAACTTGAGTCTCTTCTCTTTTTATCTGGCTTAGCCTAAGTCAACATTTGTCAATTTTGTTACCTTTTCAAGCATTTGATTTTGGTTTATTGATTTCCTCTGTTTTTTCCTACTCCCTATCTTCCTGTTGGCTTAACTCTTATTGTTATGAAATGTTTCTCTTTGTCTTTAGGAACATTGTATTTGGTTAATTAAAATGTAAGTCGATTTTGGAGTATCAACTGTTGTCTTATATGAAAATGAAAGCATCAATAGGGAAATAATGGGTTCCTAAATATTGCAGTGGAAACGTATTTCTTGGTAGGGGTGGAAATACAAAAGAAGCATCCATGTGCACGTAGTCCTTGGTTCCCCAAGTCATTGAGCTAACTTGGTCAAAATAAGTAGCCTCTCATTCCTTATCTCATGTGGGTGGTCTTGCCTTGCTTGGAGACATTATAATTAATTCACTTGATGTAGTTACTTTTAAGCATATCAGTTTACTTCATGTGCCATTTTCAACCAGTTACTGTACCTGGAATAATTACTAGAATCAAATTCCATCATACACAAGTAAATAAGTAAATTCTGTCATTTAATATCTAAATTACATATATATTTGTTTATTTATATATACATACATATATTTTACTCGTAAGTCAATGAAGATAAGGCTTTGTATGCTTTGTGTAAAATATGCTGTCTATATTCACTCTCATGACATTAAAGAATAAATTGAGTAATGGAATGTATTTAAATTTTACATATATCTTCCATTTAGTAGCAGAAATAAAATCTTGGTACTTGATTTAGTAAATTCCTCCTAAATTTAAATATAGTAAACTTTAGATGTTACTTCTTTGAATCAAAATTTATCTTAATGGGATGATAATTCACTAGTTTATCTCTAATGAGCCTCAGCTAGTATTAAATCTATTATGAAATTAGACAGCATCAAAATAAAATATAATTAATTAAAACACAAAAATTATTTTATTGATTAATTTAGACCTCAGATGTTTACATTATGAAATTAAGGTTTTTTCAGGTTTTGTTTTTAGAATAATTAGCAAATATTACCAAATGTGAACCATAGTAAAAGTTCTTCAGTAACACTTTACCATTCCATTTTCAAATAACCCGAATTTATGTGTCAGGTTGAAAAGTTTTTAGATGAGTGACTTTTATTTCTATATGTATCCAAATATTTGTGTATCATGTAGACAGCCCTAGAAAATATGCAGATATAAGCCATTGCATAGAATGGTAAAGAATATATTCTTAAAAGAAACAAGAGAATAAGATGCATTCACTTAATGCTCCAAATAGGTCTCTCTCTGTCACTCAGGCTGGAGTGCAGTGGTGTGAGCTCACTACAACCTCTGCCTCCCAGGTTCAAGCGATTCTCGTGCCTCAACCACTTGAGTAGCTGGGATTACTTGTGTGTGCCACCACACAAGCATGCATATATATATATATATATATATATATATATATACACATATTTATTTTATAGATTTTTTTTTGGCAGAGATGGGGTTTAGCCATTTTGGCCAAGCTGGTCTCAAACTCCTGGCCTCAAGTGATCCACCTGCCTTAGCCTCCCAAAGTCCTGGGATTACGGGCATGAGCCACTGTGCCCAACCTATCATCTAGTAATTTTGATTAAGAGAAACTAAAAGCAGCCCAAACAATTATACTAGCAGTCACTGTTCTAACTGTTGGAAGGAATGGGTGACTTTAAGACTGGCTGCTGCTTTACATAGGTTACAAATAACTATTTACTACTTTTTCACAGATAAAGTCCCTGAACTTCAATAAAGCATTGGGGGAGGGGAATATTTAAACCATTCCTTACTTCATTTTTTTCTTTTTTTCCCCCATTTCTTTCTTCAAATAATTGTTTTGTTGTTGTTGTTTTATTAGATCTAAAAAGGAAAAAGTCATCACTGATACATTTTGCTTGAACCAAAAGGCATAGAAAAACAGCATGTAACTATTAAATTTCTAAGAAAATTGAGGTAAAGAGGTGAAATCTTTAGTTCTAAGTTTGTACACAGAAGGTAAATTCGCTCCTCTCTAAAAAGTGAAGGGAACAACTGTGTACAAAATAATAAAATAATTCAATCCCTTCTCGTAAGAATATACCTAGAACTTTGCTAGAGCTTGTTATTCCACAAGAGCACCTAAAATGCCAGTCCGTGAAACTGGTGCTTCTCTCTTCTCCTATCCATCTAGGCAGTAGTTTTCATGTATTTCTGGCTGAATGTCACAGACAAAGGCCAAGAAGTTATTCATGACTTCTTCCCTGTTCTGCTGGAAGTAGGTCTGGAAGATGGCCATTTTTTCCTGGGTCTCCTTATCCACTTCAGTGCTGCACCTGCCATGGGATCCCAGTGCTGCAGCTTCTTTGGCCTTGAACTCTTTCTTTCTCTGCAGGTAGCACTGTTCAGTTTCAGCCTGAGCTGTTTCCTTGACCTGCTTCAGCCTCTGGTTCTTTTGCTTGTGGGCCTCTGACACCTTCTCAGTGGCCCACTTCTCAGCCTTCAGCAGCTGCTGGATCCCCTGCAACTGACTGGTCATGGCGACAGCGATTCTGAGACTAGCTCAGAGGACCCTGGGGTCAGCCAACCCATCCAACCACAATCTTCACCTGCACCCTGCCGCCCCTCATCTCTTGCAAGTAAGTCATCACCAGAGAGATGAAATGTTAGAAGTTATAGCACAAAGTGAGCACATTAAGTATTTTAAAAATCTTTTAAAATGTGTCTTATAAGTAATTTTACACAGTACATAATGTATTCATATGTTACATATCAACAGAGCTATTTGGACAGTCAGATTTCCTTCAGATTAAAGATAGAGTTGGCATTTTTTAAGAAAGTGTTTTAAAACTATTAGGGGAGGCTGGGCGCGGTGGCTCACGCCTGTAATCCCAGCACTTTGGGAGGCCGAGACGGGCGGATCACAAGGTCAGGAGATCAAGACCATCCTGGCTAACACGGTGAAACCCCGTCTCTACTAAAAAAAATACAAAAAACTAGTCGGGCGAGGTGGCGGGCGCCTGTAGTCCCAGCTACTCGGGAGGCTGAGGCAGGAGAATGGTGTGAACCCGGGAGGCAGAGCTTGCAGTGAGCCCAGATCATGCCACTGCACTCCAGCCTGGGCGACAGAGCGAGACTCCGTCTCAAAAAAAATAAAAAATAAAAAAAAAAAACTATTAGGGGAGTTTCCATAGTGTGGAACAATACTTCTTTATAATGCAATATTTTATGTGTGTCTTTAAAAAGTCAAGTAAGAAACTAGATCCAGCTCTGAGAAAAACACTTTTGACTTCATTTACTTTTATTTATATCTGATGCATACTATAAAGTATTTGCTGTGAGTGTCTTGCAGATACCCTTAACTAAGAAAAATAGATATTTCTGGATATACATTACAACTTAGATTACCTTTGTACACTAACATTTATGGTAAGAACAACATGTTAAATGTTGGCAAATCTAAGAGTGCTCAATTTGACTGTTCATCCTGGCACTCACAGAACTTACTCCAGTGCCCACTAGACGCCATTTCCATCAGGATAGAGTCTGTGTCATTCATCAATGTATGTCTAACACCTGACATAGGAGTACATGGCACAGAGTGGATTTTCAATAAATGTTTGTCAATAATTAAACATTTTCACCAGTAAATAAACAAAACACCTTCAATAAATGGCATGAGATACCAACTATTTCATCATGCAACACTGGGAACTTCTTGCAAACGTTCTCAGACTGCTTATCCTAAGTGGATCAAGAGTTACACAAAACTGAGTTCCTCCAAAAATAAATAAATTATCATCATGGGAAAAGAGAAAGGCAGTAACATTTTATTCTACAAAGGTAATAAGTAACATTTACAACATAAACTAAATGAAAGCCACCACAGTACTCAGACAATTCCAAAACTATTGTGTTTCATGTATGTACTATAGAACCCATTCTCATTCTTTTTTTTAGTGAAAATGTTTCCCCTTTTTCAGTTTTATTTCAGTGGTTGTGGGGGAACAGATGGTGTTTGTTTGCATGGAAAAGCTCTTTAGTGGTGATTTCTGAGATTTTGATGCGCCCGTCACCCAAGCAGCGTACGCTATACCCAATATGTAGAATTTTATTCATCACCCCCCTCACACCCTTCCCCTCGAGACCCCAAAGTCCATTATGTCATTCATACGCCTTTGCATCCTCAAAACTTAGCTCCCACTTACAAGTGAGGACGTGCAATGTTTGATTTTCTATTCCTGAGTTTCTTCATTTAGAATAACGGTCTCCAACTCCATCCAGGTTGCTGCGAATGCCATTATTTTATTCCTTTTTATGTCTGAGTAGTATTTCATGGTATATATGTATATACCATATATATATATATATGTATGATCACATTTTTGGCTGGGTGCAGTGGCTCATGCCTGAAATCCTAGCACTTTGGGAGGCCAAGGCAGGCAGATCACCTGAGGTTGGGAGTTTGAGACCAGCCTGACCAATATGGAGAAACATCATATCTAATAAAAATACAAAATTAGCCGGGTGTGGTGGCACATGCCTGTAATCCCAGCTACTTAGGAGGCTGAGGCAGGAGAATCACTTGAACCTGGGAGGTAGAAGTTGCAGTAAGCTGCAATCACACCATTGCACTCCAGCCTGGGCAACAAGAGTGAAATTCCTACTAAAAATTAAAAAACAACTTTTTCCTTATTCACTCATCAGTTGACATGTATCTGTGCTGGTTCCGTATTTTTGCAATTGTAAATTGTGCTGCTATAAATGTGTTCAAGTGTCTTTTTTTTTTTTTTTTTTTTTTTTTTTTGAGACGGAGTTTCACTCTTGTTGCCCAGGCTGGAGTGCAATGGCACAATCTTGGCTCACCGTAACTTCCACCTCCTGGGTTCTAGCGATTCTCCTGCCCCAGCCTTCTGCATAGCTGGGATTACAGGCATGCACCACCACGCCTGGCTAATTTTTGTATTATTAGTAGAGACGGGGTTTCACCATGTTGGCCAGGTTGGTCTCGAACTCCTGACCTCATGATCAGCCCACCTCGGCCTCCCAAAGTCCTGGGATTACAGGCATGAGCCACTGCACCCAGCCATGGTCTTTTTCAAATAATAACTTGTTTTCCAGGAATTTATCCCTCTCTCTTGATTTTCTAGTTTGTGCGCGTAAGGGTGTTCATAGTACCCTTGATTATCTTTCGTATTTCTGGGGTATTGGTTGTAATTTTCCCATTTCATTTCTAATTGAACTTATTTGGATCTTCTCCCTTTTCTTCTTGGTTAATCTCACTAATGGTCTATAAATTTTGTTTATTTCTTCAAATAACCAATTTTATTTCATTTATCTTTTGTATTTTCTGTTTCAATTTTATTTAGTTCTGCTGTGATGTTTGTTATTTCTTTTCTTCTGGGTTTTGGTTTGGTTGGTTCTTGTTTCTCTAAGTCCTCACGGTGTGACTTTAGATTGTCTGTTCATGCTCTTTCAGACTGTTTAATGCTATGAAGTTTCCTCTTAGTTTTGCTGTATCCCAGATGTTTTAATAGGTTATGTCACTATGATCATTCAGTTCAAACAATTTTTAAATTTCCTTCTTGATTTCATTGTTGACCCAAAGGTCATTCAGGAGTAGATTATTTAATTTTCATGTATTTGTATAGTTTTAAGGGTTCTTTTTGGAGTTAATTTCCAGCTTTATTCCATTGTGGTCTGAAAGAGTACTTGATATAATTTCAATTTTCTTAAATTTATTCAGACTTGTTTTGTGGCCTATCATATGATTTATCTTGGAGAATGTTCTATGTGCTGATTAAAATATGGTATATTCTGAAGTTGTTGGGTAGAATGCTAGGTAAATATCTGTTAAATGTGTTTGTTCTAGGATATAATTTAAGTCCATTGTTTCTTTATTGCCTTTCTGTTTTGATGACCTGTCTAGTGCTGTCCGTGGAGTATTAAAGTCCCCTACCATTATTGTGTTGCCATGTATCCCATTTCTTAGGTCTAGTAATAATTGTTTTATAAATTTGGGAGCTCCAGTATTAGGTGCATATATATTTAGGATTGTGATACTGTTCTGTTGGACTGATCCTTTTATCATTATATAATGCCGTTCTTTGTCTTTTATAACTGTTGTTGCTTTAAAGTCTGTTTTGTCTGATATAAAAATAGGAACATCAAAAGACATTCCTCCATCTACAACCATGCAGGTGTCCCAGCAGTGAGAACAAGCACAAATCTGTCAGGAGAAACAATGCTCATGGATGCTTGAGAAAACTGCTTACCTTCTAGTTCTTGAATAGTGAAAATTACTTTTGGGTGTTTTGGACTCTAGAACAGTGATTCATTATATTTATTTGTTATTCTATCAATTCTCAGTTGAATGCAAGACTCAAATGTCCTTGTCATTTGCAATATTTTAATCATGCTCCACAGCCTGACTTGCAACCCTGTTAATATTGAATGACCTTTGATCCTGCTCTAGTTCACACATTGAGCCCTGAACTCTTCCATTTTTTCCATGGACCATTATCAACTAAAATCTCACCATGGGAAACCAGTCTTTTAGAGTGGGTCTGCTGCTTAGAATATCCAGTGCCACAGCCCAAGCATAAGATATTCTGGATAGACGTTACCCAATAATGACTTCGTTTAGTGCTCTCATTCACAAATGTCAGAGTCCTGAAGCCTCAGATCTTTTACCACAAACTCTTTCAATGTCAAGGGCTCTATTCTGTTGATTCGAATTTAGTTGCTGTCCACGATGTCCCACAGGATTGGAGTTTATGCCGGTTCCTTCCAGATATGACCTGATCACTGCCTCCATACCGAACTCACTACTATAGACCTTTGGTAAGGCTTCTGGGAAGTAATGTGTGTATTGAATAGGCCAACATAAGTGACCCTCAGGTAGTGCTGGACCAGGGCTTACCCCATAACTGGTTTAAGTTTGTACAAAACTTTACTCACTGGTAGAAGCATTACACCATCATCTCCTGCGGCTATGATAGCATCCAGCCAATAGACAGCTTCCTTCTCATATTCATGGCTCTCTACTAGATTAACTTCAACTACTGCTTCCTATAATCTGTAATACATTCTACATCCTTGCTGCAAATATGATGTGGTTCAGTAATTCCACTAGAGCTACAGTCTTTCGAAGCAAGCAGTTGCTTCCAGTCCTCCTCCAGGAGCTCTGCTTAATGCTACCACTGCTGTTGAAAATCCTACTGTGTGGTTTTAGCCACCACCACCCGAGAGGGGTGGAAACCATCATTGGGGTGGCTGCCACAGCCCACCAACTCATATGGCTGCATCTGCCCCAGATGCCAATGGCCACCGCAGTTACCCCTGGGTCATGCAGGGGGGCATCCTATGCTTGGGTTTTGCAGTGCTGCTGCCAGGCCATCTGCACGTGAGGATGGCTGCCAAGCAAGAAGCCTTGGAAATGTCATCCTTCACCCAGCCAAGGCCACAGGCACAGGCTCCTGCCTCTGCTCCCAGCTTCCACCACTAGGAGTGTGGGTGGCTGATGCTGTCCTGGCCTGTAACTTCACCCGAGAAGACAGAGGTTAAGTTCAGGGACATGACTGGCCCATTAATGAATTTGTAGTACAGCCTGTTATCTTCTAGGTGAAGTATGTGACATTTTTACTTTTAAAAAATCAATCTGCATTTTGAAATATCTTTATTATTTTGCTTACTTCTGCTATTGATTCAACATATTCCAAGTTAATTTTTTATCTGGAATTTCATAATTTAATCTGAGTGGAGAGAGGAATCCTGCAGCAGGACAAATAAAACACACCATATGCCTAGAAGAGAGATAGAATTTGGAAATAAGAATCACACATATGAAATGCATGTGGAGGGTATGGCAAAATACATCTTTTGACAGTATTGGCACATGGAATTATAATGACAAGGCAGGCAAGGATCGTTAAAGCCAGAGGGTGAATGTCCTTATGTGTCATAGTGAAGTGATTGATTTTTTTAATTCAATTGAAGTGAGTTAATTACACTTAAGAAGGATTGGGAACTATGGGGCATCACCATTGGGGACTTTTGCTGAGAGGTGGTGTGGCCAGGCCACATTATTCACCTGACTCTGCCACTCATTCCAGTGCAGGAGGAGTTGCCTGTTACTTCCAGGTGACAGGCCTGGCTGAGTGAGCATAGATGGCATGGAGGACTCTGAAAAGGACGCATGGAACACACTACTACTGACACAGAGCCTGACACAGAGCGGGCACAGCCGCCTGTGCAAGCTGACAAGTTACTGGCATTTTTCATTTACCATAAATCCCTGCCTCTGAAATCTGAGGGGTCTGGGCTATCTGCTCTGCTGACACCCTCCAGTGCACCTTCTCAGAGGAAAATCCATATAAGTTAACAACAATTTTAAAAAATAAACCACTAACATTACTAATCTGCATGCTGTTGAATTTTTGTTTTATTTTCGGGGTTTTTTTGTTTTTTTCATTTTTTCTTTTTTCGAGACAGGGTCTCACTTTGTCACCCAGGCTGGAGACCAGTGGCACAGTCTCAGTTCACAGCAGCCTCGACCTCCCAGGCTCAAGCAATCCTCCAACCTCAGCCTCCCTAGTAGCTGGAACTATAGGCACATGCAACCATGCCAGGCTAATTTTTTTTTAGACAGAATCTCGCTCTGTCACCAGGCCAGAGTGCAGTGATGCAATCTGGGTAACTGCAACCTCTGCCTCCCTGGTTCAAACGATTCTTCTGCCTCAGCCTCCCGAGTAGCTGGGACTACAGGTGTGCGTACATCACCATGTATGGCTAATTTTTGTATTTTTAGTAGAGACAGGGTTTCACCGTGTTGGCCAGGATGGTCTTGATCTCTTGGCCTCGTGATCCGCCACCTCAGCCTCCCAAAATGCTGGGATTTACAGGTGGGAGCCACCGTACCCGTCCCTGCCCAGGCTGGTCTTAAACTCCTTGGATCAAGAGATCCTTCTATCTTGGCCTCCCAAAGTAGTTGTGATTACAAGTGTGAGCCACTGCACCTGGCCTGAATTTTTTTAATTTGGTGTCCGCAGATAAGAAAATGTTTCACCATTTGTTCAAATTTTCTTTTATATCATTTACAAAATTGCTAATTATTTTCTAATAGATATATTAAATGTTTATTTTTTATACTGAGACAGAAAAATGTAAGAATTTTTAACTTTATAATTTTATCAGTTGTGAATTTGGCATTTTTAAATTTATTCTAATAAATTTTCAGTACAATTTATTTTATTCTTGGTAGATATTCATAGCATTCAAAACTCTCAAAATAAATGAATTCTGCCTTTATAATACTTGCATCTATTTTTATTGCCTCTATTATTGAATTGGCAGAGACTCCAGGCTAAAACCTCGAACAACAGCTGTATCTGTAGCCATCATGTAGGATCCCAGATTAAAATGCAAACAACCCTAGTAACTTTTCTTTAAAAGTAATGATTCCCTCTAGTTTAGAGATAACAATCTGTAATGCGTTATGGAAGTATATTTTATTTCTTATTTTCTATATTTATTTTCATTAAGGCATGAAATACAATTAAATTTAATGGAAAGCCTCATAACCATTTATTAGAAAAATCATGTTCATTTCAGTTTAAATCCTTTGCAATGAGAAAAGGACCAATAAAATGGCTTCAGGAAATCCACATTTTCCACCCTCACAACTGATCCCACCTTAATCCCTCTGGGTCATCATGAGATCCTCATGTCTGAGTCCCAACACTTGCCAAGTAACCTTCACCCTCTTCTTCCAGAATGTTCCAGGGCACTGACAGATCTAAGGCCAGTGTCTTAATTGTGTGACAAATAGATAGGGTAGTTGTCATCTTTGTCTTCATAAACTGTCATGGATTTCTCTTGATCTGGATAATAAATCACACATTTGCAATCTTGACTCAGCCAGGAGATCAGGAAAACAGTCCTAAGGACTCAGGTGCACAGACACAAGTAGGGCTGGTTTGTTTCTTTTCATAGGGTTTTCTGTGCATGGACAGTCTTAAAATCTGCCCTCACTTGTGTTAGATCCCCTGAAGCACCTCCTCTGTCTTGTTGAGAGGTTCTCTGAGGTGACCCCAGAGCCTTGATTGAGTGGAGAAAGCTCCTGGACCCTGGGTGGCCAGAAGAAAGAGTCAGAGGAAGGGAGGAGGGTGGGAGCCTGAGTCTGCCCCAGCAAAGCTCAGCAGTGACGTTACTGCCATCTTCTGGTAGCTGCAAGGCTCCGTCACCCCTCAGTCCTTCCCATCTTGCCAACATTGTGTTAAGAGACACTGTTCAGGACAAGTACGCATCTATGGGAGAGGATCTCAGTGGAATTGTGATCCTGTGGAACAATCTGTGATTAGAGGTGGAGGATGGGGAAGGCTGAGCCCTGTGTCCTACAAAGACCCTGAGAGCCAGAGCCACGGGTAGGTGAGCTCAGTGGGAGGGAGAAGGGATTCTGGAAGCCAGTCTTCCATGGGATGGTTTTCAGTAACAGATATTCATATGAACCACTAAATGTACCCTAAGGAAACATGTTTTTCGAAATTCCTGAAGGGACATATCTTTTTTTTTTGTTTCGTGGTGATGGAGTCTTGCTATGTGGAAGATACTGGTCTCAAACTCCTGGCTTCAAGCAGTCCTGTTTGCTCAGCCTCCTGAATTATTGGGATTATAGGCACAAGTCAGCACACCTGGCACCTAAGAACTTATGCTTTTAGAAATTCCTCCCAAGTCTGTCTGCATAAATCAACTTATAATTTTTGCTATGGCTTAAGATTTAAAAATCTGTTTCTGAGTATTTGGGGGGTTTTAAATGGGAATTTAGGAGAGTAAGATTATGGAATATTAACCTGACATCATTTTAAATGGAAATCCCTATGAATAATTTTATAATAATAAAAGTAGATTCTTCCCAAACATTAACACTAATGAAAAATCTCATGTGCAGGTGTTAAATACAGGCTATTTGGCACCAACACAAGTTTCTGACTTCGTAGGTTTAGGTTGGAGAACTGCATTTTTAACAAGCTCCCTGAAAATGTTCCCACTTCGATGATAAACAAAATATTAAGTCAGCCTCCGTGGTCAAATTAATGAATGAGCATATGCCTGTTAATTCTCTTTGAGTAAGAAGTGTCTTCCTGGAGCACATGGGTCTCTATGACTCACTGTGAGCTTATATATTTTGTGGATAATTCTCCCTCCACATTGTTCTCAGTGGAGAGGAAGCACAGCCATGGAAAAGTCACACTGGGGAGGTGGACACACCCGGGGAGAGACTGGGAGAGGCACCTGGCAGTGAACCCCTGCATCAGAGACTGGGGCAAGGAGACTCCTCACTCACCGTGTTGACCATTTCCACCCTCTCACTTTCCCTCCCATCTGTAAGGGCTGAACTGTTGTGAGTATATAAAGAGGTTTTAGTTGCACTTCCTCATAGGTTTAAATCGCCGTGGAAATGCCACTACCCATGTACAGCGTACAGTAATAATCAGATTCATCGTCTGCCTGAGCCCCCATGATAGTGAGGGCAGCTTTGTTCCCAAGGATGGAGCCAGAGAAGCGATCAGGGACCCCGGAAGGGCGAGTGTTTGTGCTGTAGATGAGCGTGCGCGGAGCCTGGCCTGGGGTCTGCTGGTACCAGCTGGGGTAGTTACTGGTAGAGACTGAGCCAGAGCTCAGGCCACAGGTGAGTGTGACTGTTCCTCCAGAGGACACTGACAACGATGGCTCCTGGGTCACCACAGTCTCAGAATCCACTCCTAAAATGAACAAGAGAGACACAGTTGTGATCATGCGGATGACAGTAACCTGGACCCTGTTTTCTGTGGTCCCCCCAAGGATAGAGTCCCTTCAAGCCCTGACCTGAGCCATAAACAAGGAGTCCAAGGAGAAGCATCATCCAGGCCATGGTGGGGACACTTATGAAGGCCAAGTGCTCTCAGGCTTCTCAGCTGGAGTTTGTTTTCCTCAGGGCCTTTTCATGCCTCCCCAGACCCAATAGGATAAAAAAAGTTCTTTATGCAAATCAGCTTCCCCTGTCTTCCTGCCCCAGGTTTCACCCTGCTGTCCTGTGGGGAGACCTTGAGAGAGGCAGCTGCTGAGACCTCACACAGACCCGTGACCACACAGAGCTGAAACACTAATGAATAGGTGTTGGTGCCTTTCCCCAGATTAGCTCCCCCAGTTTCTGAGTGGCCAAAAGATGGGGGATGTGTTCTCCCTCCTGCCACACAATCTGGTTTATGGCTAAATCTAACCCCATCCTCGTGAGCATTTTCTTTTTTCCCTGCTGAAATGCTTGCTGGTGTTTTTTTGGGAGTGAGTAGCAGGCCCCAGCATCCTTTGATTACCCCCAATGGAATCTTTGATGACTGAGGAAGATGAAGGAGAGAGGAATCCTAGCCATGGCAGAGATGGCCCCAGTTCTCTATTGAGGCACTCACTGTTTCTGCAATTGAGACCACTATTCCCCAAGTGTCCCTTATTCTGTCTTTGTTAAATTTCAGCATGTACATTTGTTCCTGCTGTGTGATTGTCTGTCTGTGCCTGGATAACCACTCCATCCCCACTGAATGCAATAACAGCACCACTGCCCACTGGCATCGTGAACCTGGTGCCCATCTCTGAGCTCTGCTGGGGACAGTCTACGTGGCAGCTGCCGTAGCTCCTGCTCAGAGTGCAGATGAGTTTGACCTTTTGTCCCAAGGAGGAGGATACAGAGGGTGGATGAATCAGCACAGGTTGGGAGAAAGATGCTGGAAAAATAGACACTCGTTATGACCCAAAGGAAAGAGAAGAGGGAAGGACACTCTTGGCATGAGTTTTGGAGTTGATGTCAGTGACCTGGGGGATCAAGATGCTGAGGACCATCCCAACCCATGCAGTGGAGGAGAAGGATGAAGAGGAAGACTAAGGTTATCTACTAATGGCTTCCCTTTTTATTTTTGACTGTTCTTATTAACTTGGTAATAATAACACACGTACGTGGATTTGCGGGTAAAGGAACCTTTTAGAAATGCAGACCTTTCTTTTTGTTCTAGTAGTTATTCCTGGTGTCATCGTTCCCTTCTTTGTGTTCAGGTGCATTCATAGTTTAGTTCCCACTTAAAAGTGAGAATGTGTGGCTTTTGGATTTCTGTTCTGGCCTTAGTTCACTTAGGATAATGACCTGCAGCTCCATCCATGTTGCTGCCAAAAATGCGATTTTTGGGGGTCGTGTACTGTTTTGTGGTGTACACCTGCCATATTTTCTGTACCTTATCCACTGTTGATGAACGCCTAGGTTGATTCCATTTCTTTGCCATTGTGAATAACACTGCCATGAGCATACAAGTGCCCGTGTCTTTTAGATAGAAGGATGTATTTTCCTTGGGTAGACCCTCAGGAGTGGGATTGCGGGGTTGGATGGTAGTTCTAAATTCTTTGAGAAATCTCCAAACTTCTTTCCACAGTGTCTGTACTAGTTTGCTTCCCCACCAAGACCACATCAGCATTTCCTCTCCTCGGCTGCCTCGCCAGTATCTCTCTTTCTTTGTCTATATAGTCATTGCTGTTCTGAGTGGTGTGGGATGGTATCTCAACCTGCTTTTGATTGGCATTTCTCTGCTGATGAGTGAGTTTGAGCATGTTTTCCTCTTCATTGGTCACTTGCACATTGTCCTTTGAGAAGTGTGTGTTCTCGTTCCTTGCCCATACATGAACGGGATTTTTTGTTGTTTTTTGTTGAATGATTGGCATAAGATCATTGAAGATTCCAGATATTAGACCTTGATCAGATCCAGTTTGGGAACATGTTCGCCCACTCTGTAGGCTGTCTGTTACTCTGTTGCTAATTTATTTTGCTGTGTGGTGGCTCTTTAGAGTATGAAGCCTGACTTGTCAAGTTTTGTTGTCATTTCCTTTGGGGACATAGCCAAATAGATTCTTTGCCAAAGTCTATGTGGAGAAAGGTATTTTGTATGTTTTCTTGCAGAATTCTAATAGTTTGAGGTCTTCCATTTAAATCTTTCCTTTATCTGGAGTTTCTTTTTGTGTCTGGTTAGAGGTAGGGGCCCAGTGTTACTCTTCCGCACATGGCTAGCCACTTATCCCAGCACCATTGATTGAATAGGGCATCCTTTCCCCCTTGCTTATTTTTGTGGATTCTGTCGAGGGTCAGACGGTTTTTGGTGTGTGGGTTTACTTCTGGCTCCTCCCTTGTGTTCCACTGCGCTATGTGGAAGCAGGTACTGAGTTTTTCCATGAAATTTGAACTCAGTGGGTGAGATGCATCTGATGTAGTCTGAATGTCTCAGGATTGTTTTGGAAGAAATTCAGGGTGATTCAGGGTCCCATGTGAATTTTAGCATCATGTATTTATATTTCTTGAAATAAATTTGCCAAATAGTAAAGGAATACCATGAGGGGGTAGAGTGCGACATTTTGGTCTTTGCATACATCGTGGAGTGATGAAATCAGGGTATTTAGTGTCTCTGTTATTTTGTACCATTGTTTATTCTTTTGTGATGAGAAGCTTCTGTATCCTCCTTCCCAACTGTTTTGAAGATGCAGTGATGCTGTTAACCCTGGTCACCCTGCTGTGGAATAGAAAAATAGGATTTTCTTCCTCTCATCTGTGGGGAACTTTGTACACCTTTCCAGTCCCTGCCCATTCCCTTCCTCCCACCAACCTCTGGTAACCATGATTATGCTTTCTAGGTCTTAGAGATAAAGTTTCTCAGCTTCTGCGTGAGAGGATGCAAGGTTTGTCTGTCTCTGCCTGGCTCATTTCATTTACCATCATGTCCTCCAGGTGCAGCTATGTGGCTCCCGTGATAGGATTTCATTGTATTTTTCTGGCTGAAGAGTATTCCAGTATCTACACATGGGACAGTTTCCTTATCCCTTCATCTGCAGATGGACAGGCAGGCTGATTTCTCATCTTGGCCATTCTGCATAGTGCTGGATTCCACCTGGGAACGCAGATAATCTCTTCCGTGGCTTGATTTCATGTACTCTGTGTATACACCTAGTGGTAGAATTGCTGGATGAAATGGTAGTTGTAGTTTTAAGGTTTGGAGGAACCTCTAAGTGGTTTCTTTAGTGTATATACTAGTTTATGTTTCCATGAATTGTGGAGGCAAGTTCCCTCTCTGTGGAAATCCACACCATCATTTTTTGTCTTAATATTTTTCACCTATTTTTTTTTTTGTAGTATCCATTCCATCTAGAGTGAGATGGAATCTGAGTGGTGGTTTTGATTTTGTGTGTTTGCATGATTAGTTATATTTGCCAAGTTATTGTAAATTTGTTAATTTGATGTGTAAAAGTGGGCAGAGGACCGGAAAACATGAGGTTGATGCACAGGTAAAAGATAAGATTATCAACGTGGCTGATTCACACCAAAACATAAATGAAACCACACTCAGATTCTATCTCACTCCAGTTAGAATGAATTCTCCCAACAGTTGATGGCAGTTTCATTGCTATAGAGTGTATGTATATAACCAGAGGGTGCAAGGGACGTTTTGATATATGTATACGTAGTGTCATGATCAAATCGTGGTGTCTGGCATCTTATTTCCCTGTGGAGAGAACATTCAGAACCATCCTTTCCAGCTGATTTTGAATAATTCCCTCAGACATTGTTGACCCTGGGCACCCTGCTGTGGACTAGAACACCAGAATGGATTCCTCACCTCTGAGTGTCACTCTGTACCCGTTACCAATCCCTGCCCAGGCCCCCTCCTCTCTCCAGCCTCTAGTAACACCCGTTGAAAGTTCTGCTTCTAGAAGACAGTGTTTTTTGGATTCCATTTGCCGAATGTCATGCAGTGTGGGTCTCTAACAGGCTCATTTCATTTCGCCTGATTGTCTTCCAGGTTTCTTCAGATGGCTGCAGCTCAATGATTTCCCGAAGTTTTACAGTTGAAGTGCGTTCCATCGTGTATATATCCGGTTCCTTTATCTCTTCATCTGTGGATGGACAGTTAGGTTGATTCCATATCTTGGCTATTGTGAGTAGTGCTTCAGGACACATGGGAAAGCAGATACCTCTTCAATGCAGGGGTTTTGTTTCCTCTAAATGTGTGCCCAGTGGTGGGGTTGCTACCTGGAGTGGTAGTTGTACTTTGACCTTTTACTTTTTTAAGGCACCTCCAACAGTTTTGCATAGCGTGTATACTAATTTACATTCCCACAAAGAGCGTACAAGCGTTTTCCTTCCTGCAAGTCTACACCAGCCATCGCCTTCAACAATTTTGATTTTTGTCTTTCTTAATATTCACTTTAACTGGACTTATCTGGTACCTGAGTATGGTTTTCATTCACTTTTTTGTGAGGATCAGTGATACTGAGAAACTGTTACCTGTGAGTCCATTTCCTGTCTTCTTCACACACACGTCTATTCAGATCCTCTTAGCTAGGGATTTGTTGTTGTTGTTTTTGTTGTTTTTCACTTAGTAGAATCAGTTTATTGTAGGTGTTAGATAACAATCTCTTTCAGAGGTAGGACTTTCCTTAATTCTCTCCCAGTCTTTAGGATGCATTTTGTTAGTTTGTTTCATTGTTTCCTTCCCCCTGTAGAAGTTCTAAAGTGTCACTAGTGTCATTGTTTATATTTGCATATGTTAGCAGTAATTTTTGTATCCAAACCTCCACACCACAAAACACACACACACAGATACACACACATATATATAGCCAAGCCATTGCATTGTCTATGCGTGTAGTTCCTCTAATTTTCCCTTTAGTGTTATGATTATTTTTCACCTTTTGCAGCCTGTGTGCGTAGATACATTTTTCCTAAAATATACATACAACCTATGTTTTCTTATAGGACCTTTGCAGTTTCAAGATTGAGTTTAGGTCTTTAATTTATTTTGTGTTGATTTTGTATATCATGCAATGTAAAGGTCTTCTTTCAGTGTTTTACATGTACATTTTCAGTTTTCTCAAAATCACTTCTTGAACCAGACTGTTTCCCATTGTGTCTTTTTGGTGTTTTGAAAAATATGTTCCCTACATATCATGTTGGGTTGAGTGTTTGGCTGCCTCATTCTGTCCATTGGGTCCTCGTTCTGTGTTTGTGACAGTCGTAGATTGTTTGGATAACGAGAGATTATGTTTTATCATTTATTATTTTCTTTGCTTCTAATCTTGACTTTTTCTTTCAATGCTGTTTACTCTCATTATAGATTAAAGGGTACACATGCAGGTTAGTTACATCTGTTGACTGCATGACACTGAGGCTTGGGGTCCCAACAACCTCATAACCC